TGATGTGAACAATTATGTGAACAATTACGTTCAATGTAGAAAAAGGACAAATATATGTACCCTGAAGTTTATTTGGTGGAGTGAGTGGGTTATGAAGCTCATACAACCGTTTTTAAAAAAAACTCAATGGGTTCTTCTATAGGTATTTCAGTCAACTTTCTACATTGTAAAAATTTGTCATTAAACTGCAAACATCATTTTCTTTTTTAGAGATGAAATTGATTTCTTATTGCATCTTTGAACTTCCAAAATAATGGAAAGGATGAGATAGGTTAGAATTTATCATTTAAGTAATGACTGCTTGGGCCTTCGTTTCAGGAATTAATGATGGCTTGAGCTTTCTTATTGATTTCTGGATTTCTCACTTTGACAGGTAGCAGTTTGAGTGTTTTGAGTATCTCAGCTGCTACTGTATACGTTTTCTGTTGTTTTTAATTTTAGTTGTTTTTATTTTTTTACTTTGTTTTAATTGTTAGCAGCCCATAGTTATATTTAGGAGATTGATATACATACATACATACATACATACATACATTGAACAATTTAGAACAAGAATTACATCACACATCAAGCTGGTTAAGACTGATCCCAGTCTGTATTTGCGTATATTTGTAACACTTGCTAAGCAAGTGTTTCTCTATCTCATCTTATACATGAGTCACTTGGTGGAAAGATAAGTTTAATTAGTTAATTAATAAAATTAAACCTATTACGTGTAGACATTTATACACTGTTCCACGTTGATGGGTACATTTCTTCCTCAACTAACGATTTAGAATTTGTTTTCTGAGAGCCAAAGCTAAAGTCTACTAAATGTTAAGCTGAGATAATTGTATTAATATGTTCAGGAATAATTAAATAATAGCAGTTGCAAATGAAATAATATTGAAGGACATGGAATCTGTGGTTTGTAAGTGTAGTCAATAATAATTTAGGCATCAGGTTGAATATGTAGAAAATTCTGCTTCAGATAAACTTTGAACATTTTCATTCCTATGTTTTTCTTTGGTTGGTTACCCTGAAAGTATTCTTATTGCTGGTACTACTTATACATGAAAAATAAGGACATGTTAATTACATTAAAATCTATGTTTAAAAATTGACTGTAAAAGTTAAATTTCAGTTGTCTTTATAAAATTTGTTGATATATTCATAGTAAAGAAATAACATATTTGCTATTTACATTCATAATGGTTGCCAAATAAATTTAGTCTTTCTGCTGACCTTTCTACTGTTTATTTTGCATATGTTCTATATAGAACTTTGAATAAAGATGGTGTCAGCGTTCCAAGTAATGCACATATAGAAAGCAGAACTCCGAGGCAGGTAGATTCCTCAAAGAACAATTTATTGGATTCATCATATTGGCACAACTGGTGAAAACCAACTCTGAAAGTTCCCGTGGTTTTTACCTAATTAAAAAGTGAAAGTGCCCCCTTCCCCCAAGTCATCGGTCACATTGTCCAATAGAGTTGCTGGTCGGTTGCTTGGTTACTCAACTCCTCTTCCCAGCAACTGTTGGAATGTTCTTGGTTCCCACAGGAAAACTTTTTGTTTTGGCTACAAACCCCTTCTATCTATTATCCCCCCTCCCTGTCCCGTCTTCTGCCTTTGGCAACCCTTAAGCCTCAAAGACGGCCTCAGCCATGTTTGCTTCAGGGTTGAAAGATGATTTTGTGGAATCCTTTTGAACAAATTACATAGGACAGTAAAGTATTACTTGAGAGTGAATCAGGATGTTTGCAATTCCATTGGAACCTGGAAGTGAAATAATTCAATACTGATACACGCAATGACAGAGAAGTTAACCTTTTCTTTCTAGGTCATAATCCCATCAAAAATTCTTGTGTTACACTACTAACTTAGAATGACTTGATTATGAAATCTCAATGAAACGTCGTTCCTTACTATTTTATTTTTTAAAAATGTTAAATAAATCACATTTAGGTTATTGAGTCCAACATCCCTTCCCTCCAAGACATGATACCAAATTAAAGCATCCTCAAAAGTTCAGTTTCTATACTCTGCTTTAGCACATCAAAACAGAGGATCATCTTTGGTAATTGATACTACTATTGAACTGCTTTTACCAGCTGATTTTTCATCACATTCAACCAGAAATTATATTCCTGAAACATAAGATATTTACACTGAATCAGGCACTCTGGAATAATAAAAAGCATTCTTTTATATGACAGCTCACTAGCAACTTAATTTTTTTTTCTTTTTGCAAGGCTAAACATTCCCTTTCAGTCTTTTCCCATAGCATTAACTTCTAATCTTCTAGTCATCTTTAAGCATTTCTGTCTTTGTTCCAGTTTCTCTCATTTTTTAAAAAAGTATCTAGAACTAAAAATGGGTTTTTGTCAAAGCAGAGTGAAAACAATTAATTTCTCTGACTTAGAAAGTAGACCTTTATTGATCAAACAAAAAATTGCTTTTTAGCAATTGTGTTATATTGCTGACTCTTTGTCAGGTTGTGATGAATCGCAATTTGTAAGATCCTTTTCACATATGCTGTTATCAAACCAGTGTCATTTGAATTCCTTTGGTTTTGTGAAAAGTTTCATTTATCATGATTTAAAGTTCATTCTGGTATTTTCAGACATTCCAGTAAGCAATCATTCTGAATGTTGTTTCTGTTTTTAGAATATTAGCTATCCTGCAGAATGTTATGCTGTCTGCAAGTATGAAAACATTCTGTCTACCGTTTTATCCAAAATTTAATGCAACTATTGAGGAGTACTCAGCCCTTGACTGAATACTGTGACATCTGACACGATAATCTTATTTCTGTTTGTTGAAGAATGTTGATGAACACTCTAGCATTTTTGACATCTGCAAATCATCCTAATAACTATGCCATTGGAATCTCATGTTTATTAGTTCATATTATCTGACTCTCATTCTGAAGAGGTTTATCTATCTGGTCACTAAGAATCAGTGTTGATCTAATGACATATAATCAATGAATCAGTCAGAATGTCATGGAAAAATTTGCCAAATGTTTTAGTATTTTTACAGTCCACTAAGAAAGTTACCCGTTGAAAAAAATCATCTGACACAAATTTTTATCAAACCTCTACAGACTAATTAACTGGTGCATGTTTCTAAAGCATTTACAAATAAATAATTTATAACATAATTTGGTCAATTGTCAGTTTTTAGAGGACTGATTTCTAATTCCTTGTGAAGCTAGGGAAAATCTTTGCTTCTTTCCAATCATTAGATGCTTTGTAAAGTTCATTTTCCTGAACTTCTCAGTAATAACGGATACAGGCTTGGAATGGAATAGAGTGCATTCCATCTGGCTGTGGAGATGTAGATTCATTCAAGATCAATAGATATTCTCTGGCTCTCTTCCTGTGAAGCTCTTGCTCCTTCAACCATCACAATGACTTGGTGAAGTACATATCCACTTGACATGCTTCCAGTCAATGCATTAAGCATGTGTGGATTGACCCAAGCAGTCCTATTAGCTATTAACAAGGAACCTACGGGAATACTCAGTCATGTGCAAGTTTAATGCTTATCTTTAGTGCTTTAGGGAATTTATTCTGTATAATGATTTATATACAATTCCTTAGTATGCCTTATAACAGCCATTTAAGTTAAGCCATTATCTTCTAGGAAATATAGGCAAAACAGGAAATTAAAAGAACTTCCTAAAGGCCATTTCAAATAGAGATATATTTTAACTGAGAACTTCTGCTTCAGTTTACTCTTTTTTTGTTGTCCAAACTCCATCAGTGTTCAATGAATGCTGCTGTAATTTTCCATCCTTTCATTTTACGAGGGTTCATGAATCATTGTTTCTTGATGTTATAAGTAAAAACAACATTTCTTCATTCCTTTTCCCCAATGAGGTATTATTTTCCCCACACTGAAACAGAGTCAGGAGAAGAAGACTTATGGTAGCTCGTTCAAGTCAGGATGATGAAATTGACAATCTTGATGGGGAGAAAAGGCTTTGACAAATTTTATTTCTACTTGGAAACCATTTTTGGACTTTTTATGAGAAACTGAAAGAAATGAAATGTTGATTGTAGGATTTGATGATTAGAAATATATGGAATAATGGAAGTAATACAAATGTTAAACTTAGAGTACGTGTTCAATTTTTTTTTTTTACTTACCAGTATATTTGTACCAAGGAAAGTCAGAAGTCAATCATTTTCTTTTTTTTTTCTTTATTTTTCTTTCTTGCATGTTCACATTTTCTTTCCTGAGCTTTTTTTTTCAGATCTTTTTTCAGTTTTATCTTTTAACTTTGCATTTTCAAAATGTATATGTATACATTTCATAATGTATATGTATGTATATCACTAATAACACAGTGTCATATAAATCGTAAACCAGAACTAAACATTGTAAGTTCTTTCTGTGCTTTTAACAGATCTCAAAATCTAACCTGCTCTTCATTATTATCATGAAGCAAATAAGCCTATATTCAATGTTTTGTTTTTTTTAAAAAAAAAAAGTCTGGCAGAAGAGCATCATGGAACTACTAGAAATAGATTATTGGTTTACAAAATCATACACTTAAGAACATAAGAATAGCCATGATGAATCAGGACCTGTCCAGTCTTATTGCAGCTTTTTGTTTCCATCAGTGACCAACTACTTAATTTAATGAGTGATCCATTCATATTGATAAAATTCTACCTTTTTCTAGTCCTGTTGATAGACCCATATCAAAATATATAATTGTATCTATAACTTAATACTATCATAAAGTATGTTCATCATGAGAGTTAATAGTGATTAACCAAGTAGGTTGATTTTGTTATTTTTTCAGTAATTAAATATTGGTTATTTGAGCCACACTATAATTTTTTATATTATTTTAGTAATATTATTTTAAACCAAATAATATATTGCAAAATAAACTTAGATTAAACATTCTGTTGTCATAAATGATATTACGGCATGTATTGCATCTTTAATTTGAATGATTAAAATAGTTTTTGACATTGCCTCATGTTTTTATTCCATTATAGACAATGAATACAAAAGAAGAATATGAACACAGAAAAGATAAGGAAAGCTACCTCTGTGCAGTTTGCTTGGATATCTACTTCAATCCTTACATGTGCTACCCATGCCATCATATTTTCTGCGAACCTTGCCTACGTATGCTTGCCAAGGATAATCCAACTAGCACTCCATGTCCTCTCTGCCGTACTCCAATTACCCACGTTTTTTTTCAATCAGGTGAAAAGCCTTCCTAAAATACATTTCAGTAACTATTGCCTATATTTCCAAATTAGTACTAATATTAAAACTATCCTTCTCAAGAAAATGTTCAGTATTAAATGTATTCCAGGTACCGGAATATATATTAATAACATATAGCCAATGAAAATATAACAAAATTCGATGTGATGCCAGCTAATATAGGTTTCTAAAAGTGTAATTGTCTCAGTAATCAGTGTCATCAATGGAAATGTCATATAGAGTTAATATGTAAATATTTGAATGTGTTTCAGTCAAAATTGTTCAACACCTGGCATAACTTCATGGCAAAATCCAGGATGCATGTAGCGGGTATTACAGTCTCCTCAATTATCATTTATACACATAGTCTGCTCTTCCAAATATTTTTATTTTTATTTTATTTATTAAATGTATATGCTGCCATCTCATATCAAGTGCCTGTGATCAGCTTAATTTTTAACTAGGCTTATATGTGAGGATTTCTCAGTAATGAGAAATGAAAAGAAAGTGCTTGTGGAGTTAAACTATGATGAGGCAAGCATTTGTCAGAGACCCTTACCCAGAGGTGGGATTCAGATGGTTCAGACTGGTTCACGCAAAATGTTTGTTAAAATTCTGCCCAGTTCAGCGAACTGGCTAATCTCACCACTGGTTGGCCCTGTCCCCACCCATTTTTGAGCCATTTTTGGGCCTGTTTTTCAGGCCATTTTCAGCTGTTTTTTGGGCCTTTTCGGGGCGTTTTTCGGGGCATTTTGAATGTTCAATAATAGTAAATAAATAGTAAGTAAACAGTAAGTAAAGGGAAATTGTACCTTGAGGTCTTTAAGGTGAGTGGCTGGGAAGTGGGGCTGGGTGTGATGAGTGACATTGAGTTGGCCACGCCCACCCAGTCACATGATCACCCAGCTCGCCTACCCAGCCAGTCATTAGGGCAGAGAACCAATTGTTAAATTATTTGAATCCTACCACTGCCCTTACCCCTTATATAACTAGGTTGGAAGTAAGTTTCCATACCAGTTTAGCTTAGTTTTAACATTTACTGCTTTCCTTCATTGCCTCCTTGAAATGCATACAGAACATTACACTGTCTAGTAAGTTAAAATGAACCATAGATTCTTATGTACAATAGTCACATAATCATTATCTAGACCTAGAAATCAGTTCGAACAGATCCAGACATGCATATTGTATCTTCAGTACATTATAATTTGTCTTTTTCCAAGAGCTAATGAATACGTTACCACCAAAGAATTCCCCTTTTGTAACATTAAATTGTACCGAAGTAGAATTTAATCTAAAAATGTAGTATTTCAAATTGAACTATAAGTCTCTAAGGCAGTAACAGGAGAAAGGGTTCTTGGCAATATATAGTAACTGAACATCTAGCTTTATTGCATTTATTGCATTGTCCATTATACACAAAAGCCATAAGTTTGGGAACTTTTATCAAGACAACAAGATTTTTTTCTTATTCCATATTAATTTTTTTTCTGTGTTAAGAGGAAAAACACATTAGTAACAAGATTTAATAAAACTGTGACTGAAACAGTAATTACACCTATGATTGTGGTAGAGATAAAGTTTTCTCATTTATTGCAAAGTTAATGAAAATGAGAAGTGGTATTATTTATGTATTTTTACACTTTAGATGGCTTTGCATAATAGAAGGTCCTAGAACAAATTACACTCTGTATCATTCTTCGAACTATATTCAGTAGAAGAAATGGGTGACTCATTAGTATTCCATCAAATGGATTCATCGATTGAATGTTGATGAGTGAAATAATATTAGAGTCACCTATCAGGGAAATGGGTGGTATATAAATTTAGTGCATAAAAAATATTTAAATAGAACAAAAATGTGGACCTACTGGACTTTAGACTGATCCAAGTTCAGAAGGCCTTATCTGTCCAACTGGCTCTTCTTTTTGACATATGTAATTTTAAAAATATCTATTGCTTTATAACCAGCCAATATCATTTCTGCTCTGTATAGTCTTATAGTCTTCATATTCTCTGAATTTGGTGAGAAACCCACAACTTCTCTTATAATTGCTTTGCAAATGCTTTTGAAAGAGCCCAAAGTTTCAAATCTCATTTGCCAGGTAGCACAGTTGGCAGCTGTTCAAAAAGATAAAAGAGACTTTCTAAGAGTTCATCACATGATTCTCTAGATTGTCTCATTCATCTTGATTGATAGAATAAGTACTTCTGGAAAGTAACAGACTTATCTTCAAGAACTTATTCTCTTTTAAGTTTTCATAAATATGAAAAACAATGGAAAATTGATACCAATATTTTCATTACTAAATAAAGGTTGCTAACATGTTTATGTTTTTTCTTCCTGTTTATTGTAGAACTGAATAATTCCACAGAAAGTTTATTTCCAATGGAATATTCAAAATTAAAGGAAAATTTTCAAAAATCAAATTTAGCAAATTGGCCTCTCCCTAGTTGCAAAAAAGTATTCAGAGTTATTGGTGGTAAGTAAATTATTAATGATTATTTTATCTTAGAAATTCATTAACTTAAAAAGTTAAATGTTCAAGGATATGCATGTCTGAATCATACTTTATTCTCTTACAATTTTTTAAAATGAATTTTTATCTATGCCCATTCTGAAAGTAATACCACAAACTATAGGATTGCAGTAGAAATAATACAAGTTGAGTTTTTGTTTGAATTTACACTATATATTTGCATGCCTGAGTAGACACTCTCAGAACATTCTCGCTGAGTTGTTTATGCAGAAAGATATCCTATTTCAACGTGCAGATATCTAAAAGGGAACTCATGAATTTTCTTATTTCCTTGAGTTGATGCAAAACCTCAAAACAGTTATTGCCTATGTGGTAAGAATGGTGAACTGTCGAATGCATAGGTAACTGTTTAAAGACTAACAGTTGCAAATATGCAACACTATATCATAAATACATTGAGTAACAGGTATGCTTACAGGCAATTATGGAGATCAGAAAATAGTATTGCTTACTTGCATTAGATCTTGTGTATAAAATTGAGTAAAAGTTAATTGCAAACAGTATAGATCAACAAATATCTGACAGCAGAATCTATTAAAAACCGTGGTAGCTTCACTAAAACGACAGATAAGCTTTCTGCTAGCTAGTACACCAGGTATATAGTAGTTGTTGCCAGTCAGCAAGATATTGTGATGAAATTGGCTGTCGTAGACGAAGGGATAAGAGGCAGATCGAGAGCTGAGATACAATACAGAAGAATAAGTACAGGTAAAAATAAAGGCTCCATAAACATTGAGGAGATGAAAAGAAACTTCTAACTATGAAGAAACAAACCAATATAGGTAAAACAATGCTCTGAATGACATAATAGTAAGTCATCACTTTAAGCAAGAATATTCAGGTTACAGGCTACAAAAATAGAAGAAAACTTCAAACCAGATCATGAAATGCTAAATAATAAACATAATAAGCTTAATAAAGTAAAGAGTAATTCTTCATAATGTAAAAAACAAAATGAATAGCCTTCTAGATTATTGGAGAGGAACTTAAAGCAGCATTAGGAATTGGTGCAGAAGAACATCAAGTGGCTGCTCACTTCTCCTATTATAACTCACTTCACATATTATAAGATCATTGCCTAAGATCTGTGGGTATAGCTGTCAGTTACCTCTATAGACTATCTCTGGGAATCACGTTAAAAAATTTTTTTCCTGCTACTGACTTCTATAAGGAGTTGTCTAACTTTAGAACCATCATTGTCAACCAATCAGTCATGTCTGACCCTTGACCACTCCATGGATCAGTACTCTCCATGCCCCTCTTTCTCGTATTGTCTCCTTCAGATTCACCATGGTCATCCCAGTGTCATCCTTTATAATGATGACCAGCCAACTGGTACTAAGGAGTTCCCTTCTCCGTTATCTGCTGATCACTCCCAACATGATTGTTTTTAAGTGAATCAGCTCTCATGACATGACTAAAGTATAATAGCTTTTGTATAGCAATCTTGGCTTCAAGTGATATTTTTAATGAGGTTCGGCCTAGGACTTCTTTGTTATTTTTGCAGTCCATGGGATGTGTAATAGTTGCCTTCAGCACCACAGTTCAAAGGCGTCCACCCAACTTTATAGTACTAAAAGTATAATATGAAAGGTATAGTTGTTGTAGTCCTATTCCTAATCTATTTGATCTGTATGTTTTTTAGGTTATCAGCTATCTTGGCGTTTATTAGCTTAAAATGTCTTTATTACTTCATGACAGATGACAAATAAAAGCAAAAGGTATTCTGCTAACAGTGGTTTAGAACCTTCCAGATTTTTTGTTGGCACTGTCAGAATGTGAATTAGTGACTAAATATTTGAATCTGAGTCAGGTACTGGTTTAGCATTATTTGACACTCCATTCTAAAATATCCAAACTTTTTGCTGAAAGATTCAAGTCCAATCACTTTTATATAAAACTGTTCCCCAAAACAGAACATTAATTAGGAGGATCAAGATTGGTGTTTTGAGACTGAAAGTAGGAGGAACTTTCTGTGGTCTATGGTACATTTATTACTTTATCTTCAGGCAAAACTAATCAGAACCAAAGACTTGTCTGAGGTATTCATATTTTAGAAAATCTTTGTAATAAAAGGATTTCATCCTTTGATAAATTCTTATGAGTGATCATTTCGAAGCTTCAGTCAAAAGTAGAAAAATATTATATACCAACTAATGTGCTGGCAGCTATTTGTTTATTAATAAGATTAAGATGAGCATTGCTGTGAACAGCAGTCTTCTTACGTCTAGAATGTCTACTACAACAAATATTACAATAATAATCCTAACTTTTACACTTTCCTCATTCAGATTCAATATCTTTTTAAATTGTTAATTTGTGGGATCTTTCCAGCTTCAAAACATCTTTTTGAAAGTTGGAAGAAAAATTAAATAAAGCTGAACTTGTGCCAAATACAATTTAGAAGGCTGTCTTTTTTTGTAGCCAATTGAAAGTGATACATACTGTGTTTTCTTTAATACATTCAACTGACTGCCTGTGATACCCTTCTCTGTTCAACATTTATTTTCCTCCTTATTAAACATTTCCTAAATATAAATTATATATATTTGAATGTAAATCCATTCTTCAAATACTGGAAATATAAAATATATCACATTTTGGAAGTGCCAATATGTATCTTCAAGATTAATGAAAATTAAGGTTCACCAAAAAGATTCATAGTTTCTGATATAGTTTTTGTTTTGTCAATTGATATTTTGCTAGATATCAGTTTTCCAGTGTTAACAAATAATATTAGGAAAACATTGGTAAAGTTGTAGTATTAATCCATATGTCCTTTTTGTCTTAGAAATACATCATGTTTCCTGTTAGATGAAGTTTTAAACTATAGTTTACTCTTAACAGATTTTTCCTTTTTTTCTCCAATTTAAATATTCATAATTAAAATAATCCCCGGTATTTTTTAAAATGGGAATTGTTATGTGCATTTCTATCAAGTTATATTCAGTTGGCTGCTTTTAGCAAAATCCTTAAAGAATATCTCTGTAATGCTGTATACTTGTTAGGAAATTATTTGCCATCTATTCTTTCTAAATTGTATCTCTTACAACTGATTAAATATTTATAGTTTCTCTAAAGTCTTTTAGGTCATTCCTCCCAAAGGCTCTGTGGGTTATATTTTAAACATAATGGATTATATTTCTTTTCTCACCTTTCTAGACTTTCAAAACATTCAGAGTACATCAGTTTTATTGCTCCACACGTTTGTGAATTTTTTCTTAACAGCCTATATTCTCATTATTAAGTTTCTTTTTTAATTTCTTCTTTATGTTTCTAGATAATGGTTAATTAAAATCAGTATTGGAAAGAAATAATCTGTAGTACAAAATTAGCATTATTTTCCAATATAAATTGTATAAATTGACAGCAAAATCTGTGTAGTAGCTTTTCTGATCCAATTTATGACTGTTCCAATTTACAACCATGATGAGAAAGTTCCATTACGATCATAAGTCAAGGACTATCTTTAGTAAAATGTAGGGAACAAAGAAGCATACTATATCTCTATGTTGATTACACATCAAATTTCTGTTTTAATGTCATTTGTAATCTAAATGTGAATACTTAGAAAAAGGATGTATAAGTACTGTACATATTGCCCAAAGCATTGCAAGATATACTTATTCATCTAGTATTTGTAGTATTTATCCTAACATCCTGTTTTCCCGAGAATAAGACCCACTCTGAAAATAAACCCTAGCCTGATTTTTTTTAACATGCCCTACCCCAAAAATAAGTCCTAGTTAAGGTCATCAGCAGGGGATGTGGCCAGCACTGGAGGGCGCATGGACCGATGGTGTCTGGCAGCAGCTGCAGCCTGTACAGCACAAGTGAGTTGATTACTTGTACAAACAGTAGGCAGAGGAACGCAATCCGGATATGCCACACAGGAGACGGGAAAGCCAAGAGTCGGACCAGACAGGGCAGCCGGCCGCAGAAGGCTTGCCTTCACGCAGCAGCATTGGCAGCAGATGGAGGCAGAGTTGTTGTGAAGAAGAAAGGTGATCCCGACATGCCATGTGGGCCGCAGGAAAGCTGAGACACGTGAAGACAGGCCTCCCGAGGCCAGCCTCCCACTCCATCCCACCATCTCTCAGCTTGCCTGCTGCATTGCAGCAGTGAGTAAGCAGAGAAAGTGGGCCGGTTGCCACATGGGGTCATGCTAGAGGGCTGCTGGAGCCACCGTCTTGAGGCAAGGCAGGTGTTGGTGCATGGATGGCCTGGCTGCAGGGCCCTGAGATAAGCTTGGGGCAACTCCACCCCCTCGCTTTATGGCGGTGGCATTGGCGCATCGTGCAGTCTCCTGCCCTGTTGCAGCTGTGAGTAAGCAGAAGAAGCGGGCCTCCCGTTCATGGGGGAAAAAATATGGCATCCCCCGAAAATAAGCCCTAGTACTTACTTTGGTGGTCCCAAAAATATAAGACTGGGTCTTATTTTCAGGGAAACATGGGGTAGCTACTATTGGCAATAGATTGTCAAAGGAGTTCCCTGTATGAGATCCTTTACGTTCCTTCTCTACTTGCCCTTAATTGGTTAAACTGAAGTTCTTAAGTCTATTATAATTTTCAGTCTCCTGCCATACCTTCCCATGCCTGATACCACCATGATGTTGTGGCCCATCTCCCTCCCCCACCCATGGAAGCCCATTCCCCCACACCAGGCTCTTTAAGACCTAGGATCAGGAACTTCCCAGTGTCATTCTCAGTCATCCAGAGAAGCCAGATGCCCAGCTCTCAGCATCAGAATATCCAGCCACTACCTCCCCATCCACTACAAAACATATACGGACATTACAGCAAGGCTCCCTTCCCACCTTTACCTTACCTAGAAGAGCCAACTGTCTATTCACAAAACACCTAAAGACAAGGAGTTTAAAAACAGATGGAGATAAATGGAATCACATTATTTCTTCCTCCATTCTTTCATCCTGCCTCGTTGGAGCTATCCACACCATCCCTCAAAGGAAGAAACTCAGAAATTTAGGAGAAACCAGGCAGCACCAAAGACATCCAACAGCAGAATCCCCAGCAAAAATTCCAACAGAAGTCCTGACAGCAAGAGTGTCTGGCAGAAACATTCCACAGCAATCCGTAACAGCCTTTCCTTAGCATCCAGCAACACTCCAGACCTCAGCAACAGCCATCTTCCCAAAAACAAGTCCTCAAAATCAGCCTCCTAAACCAAAAAAGTCCACAACAGCATGGCAAAACTGGCTCCACAGGCACAGCTAACAAGATGTTGTGAAATGCTGGGAAATGCTGAGAAACGATAAATGCAACAAGTCAAACAAGGCCAGGAAAACAAATAGAGAAAAACCACAAATGCTTCTCTGCCTTTGGTATGCTGCTCTTTGATATAGTCTGATCTGAGTCACTGACCTTCCAATATAAACAGCTTCCATCCAGGTAGAAAATATTAAAATGGGGGAAAAAATTCTATCACAAACAGAGGAAGGAACAAAATCAGTCAAGGGGCCTGAATGTGGCTCCTCTCTCTCCACTATCTTGATTCCAATGATTCTCCTTCCCAAGATGTAATATTATCAATGCTTGGTCAGTGAAAACAATTCAGGATGATTTACATGTAGATATTATTAACTTTAATCTCTGGCATCTAAAGTAAAAATGATTAGAAAAGTCCTATATTGGAAACCTGGAGAGTTACCAGTAATAATAACAGCAATAGCACTTAGATTTATATACTGTTTCATAGTGCTTTACAGTCCTCTCTAAGCGGTTTACAGAGTCAGCATATTGCCCCCAACAATTTGGGTCTTCATTTTACCCACTCAGAAAGATGGAAGGCTGAGTCAACCTTGAGCCTGATGAGATTTGAACCGCCAAATTGCAGGCAGTGGAAGTAGTACTGCACTCTAACCACTGCGCCACCATGGCTGATAGAGAGCAGTGGAGCAGTTGCAGTTATATGTCTGCTTCCTCTATTCTTAATGCTAATATTGCATTTCATACTTATGGTAGTCATTTTTTAAAAACTGACCAATTGCTTGATTAATATTTTCATCTCAATAGCACTTTGAGATGGTATCTATTTTTTTCTTTTGTCTTCTTATATAAAGCTTCACCCATATTAGTTATGTTCATTAACAGCTATGGCTATGTAAAGCCTAAAAGGAATTTGAGTGACTGTCTTCCACATGATTTTCTCAACATCACACCATACTCGTGTCTAAATATAAATTGCTTTGTCCAATTATCATACAAGGGTAAATCTCACTTGATAAAAATACTTTTTAACTGAAAAATGCAGATGTTGCTGGGAATGTTCTAAAATGTTGGCTCACTTTGAAGAGCAACTTAGAACAAATAATATCCATTATATTTTTCATCACTTCACTGTGTGCCATTCTTTTGTTCTTAATAAAATGAAAATGCTATGTTGTTGTTGTCATCATTTTGCATCATCTTCCTTAATGCCATCTAATGGATTTTTGACTATCATTTTCTTTACTGGGGGTGGGTAGAGTAGAATTGTTCCTTTCTTAAATGCTACAAAAATCAATGCAAGGAAATGAAAGGAGCTGAAGGAAAGAAGATGGGAACAGACTGTTAATTGAATCTCAGTTCCATACTTGGAGCAAAGCCCAACTCTTTTCAGTTCAGTAAATGCAGCTCACTTTGGAATTCTTTATTTCAACATTACACATAAGAAGTAGATTTTAAAATCTGAAAACATAAGTGTCTTAATTTGAATTGGATCATTATATGACCTAACTTTAAGATTCAGGTTAAAAAAAAACAAGTAAAAATATATTAAAATATTTATGAAAAATAAAATTAAGAAAAATTTGCCATCTGAAAAATTTTCAAACTATGACCACATAGTTTGAACCACAAATTATTGGCATGGGTGGATCTAAACACTCAGCAGTATTCAGGTCTATCAAGACTCATTTAAATTTAAGTCCTCTGGAGATTGCAGAATATCTTCACAGTGCTTACATGACGCAGATCTTAAAGTCAGAGCATGTGTTAGAATTTTGAAGCTTTTTAAAATGTGAGCCTATAGCTTACACTTCAGATTTGTGATTGTGTTTGTTTTCTTCATTTGATGGACTCCGTATGTTCTCAGGTGAGAAATATTGGGTCAGGCATTTTACTAATGCAGTATTAGATATATCTCGGGTTCCTACAGCAAAAACAATTACAGTAATAAAATTACTATTGAATGAAGAATGATTACATTATAAAGTCTAATCTAGGGTAAATTTAATGTAGATTTGCTTAAAGTAAAACCAACAAATCAACTGTTACATTTATTCATTCAAATCTTCTCAGCCGAAGCAACATATCATAAAATATCACTAAGCGTTTGCGTAACTATGCCTTGATTAAAGATTGCAAGAAAATTCTAAGATGATGACGCAAAAATAGCCCCTTGGCATATTTGTTTTCTGTAAGAATGGAAATAAATAAAAAGAATCACTTGTGGCCAATTTGATTTGAGTTCTCTAGAGGATATATTATATAGAGGATTTCTATGTGGTCAGTAAATAGTAAAGTGTTTTCAGCTGTAGTTACAAATTCATTTCTTGGAAATCAAATTAAAAAACAGGTTATAGAGGCATAATCTTTAGGATGTAAGCCAGCACAGATCTGAAACACTTAAGAGCTTGCAAAAGGATAGATATAAAATCAAACATATTTATCTTTGTAATTTAAATCTTAAAAGCTACACTAACATAGTATATCAAATATGTTTGAGACAATGCCACTCTGACAATATCAAGCTCCATTTCTACATTGTGAAATTAAATTTGACAAATTTGGAACAAAATATTTATTGTTACATATGATGTCTTGATTGACTTGAATAGCTTAATCATTTGAATGGGATATAATAAATAAAAATAATAAATTAAAAAGAAAACAAAAATTCAAAGGGTAGACTCGATGGACCACTGGGTCTTTTTCTGCCATCGGTTTTCTTTGTTTCTATATTAAGAGTTCATTTGTTAGTAAATTCAAACCATCCTGAATGAAAACATTTTAGGGGACCAAGTGAAGTTTCTCAGCCAAGCAAATGGAATGACCTGTTTTTCTTCTTTTTGTGTGGATGTGGAAAGACCACTTTCCATGTTGAATTAGGAAGCTGACAAAGAAATGGCACTGCATAGTGATATTTTTATTTGTATAAGAAATTTATAAGTCACCTCAGTCTCAAAGACTTGCTAGATTAGGAGCATCAGCAATTTAGTCAAAACAGCAATTCAATAAATGCAAGCTACCACAGAGAATGTGGGGCCTAGAATCAGGCCTTCTGTCCACCACTATGGAAGAAGAAACAGAATCACTGGAAGAAGAAACAGAATCACTATAAAACAGTTCTCCCCACTCCCAGTCCTTGAAGCCAGTCCAAATGGTTAATGGTATCAAAGACTGCCAAGAGATCTGAAAAGTCCAGGATGGTTGGTCCATCCTGATCCTGAACACTCCAGTAGTCAATCACAAGTGTAATTGATACTGTCTCAGTACTATAACAAAACTGAATCCTGAGTAAAAAGGCGCTGAATAATGGGCTTCATTCCATGCTTGCAACCAAGGCCTTAACTGAACCATGCACCATACTTCAGGAAAAAAAAACACCAAGTTCCCTTTGAAACCACATTGAGTCTATCAATTGTCCGGGATGTGCCAAATGAATAGATACTTTTCACCACCCAGACCTGGTCAGAACTTCTAGTGAATCTCTTATTTGGCCCAGAAAATTTAAAGATGGATATCATCATGTTGATATGCATCACCCCTGAAGGAGAGGGTTTTTTTCTCAGAAGGTACATTTAACTTAGCGATCGAGACACAATTATACCAAACTGATTGTTTGACAGATTCAGTACAAAAAGCAAGGAAATGTAAGCCTAAAGTGGGTTGGTTACAAGCTCTCTTTATAGATTTAAGCAAATTATTATCATGTAATTGGTTTCATTATAATTATAGTTAATTAGTAGCAACAGCATAGGATATTATCAGTACAATTGATAAGGTTAGCCATTAATACATATTAAAATATATAATGGGTGGATATATTGAGATCACACTTCACTTGCACAATGAAGTCTTTCGTTTAAATAAAGGGAACTGGCTGCACAAGCGGCAGGTGAGTGTGAAGCTTCATTTGTGCAAGCAGGGGATCTAGGTTGCACATGCAAAATCATCTCCCCCCCCCCCCCCGGCCACTGCTCACTGCTCTCACCAATGCCGGTCCGTGGAGCCAGAAAGGTTGGGGATCGCTGCTGTAAAGCACTATGGGTTGTATATACTGGTAACTAAGTACTATTGCTGTATTGCTACAGGACTTCTGATTGAAAATTCCTACTTTCCTACTTCACTCTTGGTTTCTAGTAAAGGTTATAGAAACCCTAAATTAACCCAGGAGTCCTCAACCCCTGTCCGTGGACTGGCACTGGGCCATGGCAGGCCAGCAACTGGATGCAGGCAGCATGCAAAACTACGCCCCCTCGGATCCATAGAAAAACCTCTCTCCACAGAACTGGTCCCTGATGCCCAAAAGGTTGGGGGGCCGCTGAATTAACCCACACAAGTTTCCTTCTTTTCCTTTATGCATTTTCATTTCCATGTATTGGGCATACATAGTTGTAAAGGTTATAAAACTAAATTATTTTCCATAAGATGTTTTATCAAATTGTTATTATATTTATTCAGCAGGTTTTCAGAGTACAGACTCCTTTACACGAAGGCATTTTCCACATGCTGCTCACAGAATGGATTATATGGATTTTGAGGACGATAGCCGTGGATGGGGATTTGACATGGACATGGTGATAATCTACATTTATGCCATCAACTGGGTCTTGGGATTTATCATGTTTTGTTTTCTTTGCTATTTTTTCTTTCCTTTTTAAGGATTTCTGTTCCCTATTTTGTATGTGAGCGGCAAGACAAAGAAATAGACAAATCTGGATTAAAGAATGCAGATGTATACAATCTCGGGTCTCCTGTATAACACTGATAAAACTGCACAACAATAATTTACTATGTTTTGGTTTACTAATTTTTATTGTATTTTGAAGTGAAAAAATATTTGCATATTAAAAATGTTAGATTGCTTTTTCTAATACTTATTAAGATGACCTGGTGCTTTGAGTCTATAGTTGCAATCTGTACATAAACTTGGGCAGGTTCATGAGAGTATTCATAAAGCAGTGAAACCACTGATTTACTTCAACTACTACCTGTTATGTATAAAATACATATACAAACTATCACCTCACACTTAATGGTTTCTGTAGAGATAGTTCACATATTAAATGCTTACGTTCAGTTAAAATATTTTTTCTCATCAACTTTGGAATTCAGTGTGAAGTTTTTCTTTATATCAGTGCTTATTGCATATAATGGGCATGTTGAGTCTCAGCTTTCCACCTCTTGAAATCATTTCAGGAGTTTCATGAGAGATTTTTTAAATAACAAAATGTGTTATGTACTTTAAGATATATGGGATATGACTTGGGAAAATTTGTTAGAGAAATGTGTATAGTGCCTATGGTGGTCAGTTTTTCAGCAGAGACAATTTATCTTCCTTTTTATTTGTGGATGTCTGTCAAATTACTCAAAAGACTCATTGGTTTGCCTTATTGATCAGCATGTTTATGTTAAGAGCTGACATTAAAAAAACAAAAATCAGAATTTCAATTTTCTACCTATGTATATAGAACCAAGAATAATTGATTCAGGAAGGAAGGAAAGGAAGGAAAGAAGGAGCACTTTATTCTAATTTTATCTAGTTTTAGGTCTATATATTTTGCTGTTCCTAATGTTTTGTGATCATCAACCCAATTTCCCCGAATTTGGGAAGATGAGGAGAAAAGAGAGAGAAAAGAGATGGCCAGAAAGAGAAACTCAGAAGCACCTTTGACCCATGTTGCTGAAAATGTCTGATCCCTGACACAGAATTCCTATAAATTCTGTTTGTAAGAAACGTTGAACCTCTGACCTCTTGGCTAACTAACAACCTTGACCTGGCTCTTGGAACTTTGGATTTGGACTATTCTTCTGTGTGCTCCTATTGAAAACTAACTCTACAAGTTAGCTTCTGTTTTGTTTACATTCTTAGTTTGCTGTTTTTCTCTTCAGCCTTGAAGTAAAATTGCTAATCTCCATAGCAATCACATTTAAGTGTGTGTGATTGAAGCCTAAAGCAAGGTGCAAGATTACAGTCTAATTCAAAAGTTGAAACCAGAAGTTAGTGAAAATCAGCAGGAGTCTGCGCTACGTGGTATACTAGGAGTGCACTTCTGGAGAAAGCCTAAGTTTAGGCTATGACCAGATTTTCTCCAGTAGTCATCAACGTCTCCTTTCACTTCTGGAACAGTTTCCATGCCCCAAAATGCTAGAGAGTGATACCATTTCCAGCTGCCTTGAGTTACATGAAGAGAAAGTAAAAGATGAAGTTCAATTAAGTAATGTATAATTATGCAGTATATTTTCTTTAAAAAAATATTTTACAGATTGAAGTAAATTGTGGAAATACTTTTAACAGTTCGGAATATTCTGAATTGGCTGTAGGAGTTGGAGATAAGAGTCAGCCTTGAAAATATTAATGATTGAAAATTGTACCTGCAGTTGATTAAATGTTGGGATCACATTCTTGATTGCTATTTTTCATATATAAGTAACAATTCTCTAAAATTCCTGGCCTAATTTATTTTCAAAGATACAGTGTAACCTTTCTATCTGAATAGTCATGATATTAAGTAAGTTTATCTATGAAGTTTATCTATGAATTCCCATCTCTAAAATACTTATTTCTAGACTCCAATAAATACAGTGACTTTCTCAAATGTCTGAATCCAGAAGATTGGATATATACTATAATCATAATCAGTATAAAAAGTTATTAAATTATAATGGCAAGAAATGACTTTTGGATTCAGGTATATGTTACTGAACAACTGGGAATATTACTTCAAAATTGAGAAAAGCCAGAAATTTTAGCAGTAGAAATGGAAACAGTATTAATTTATTTTTAATTCTGTAATTCTTTGTAAATACAATTCTGAAATATTTAGGTTTAAGTCTGTTTGTTAAGTAAACTATAATGAATATTATGCTGTTGATATCCTAGTAAGCTTCTGAGACTTGGTTTAATTTTTGGAATATTTTTTACCTAGGTTGTATATTTTTATCTATAATGTTACGGTGCTCATAGTAACTTTTAAATTTTAATCACCATTAAGAGTGTTATTGTATGTTTGGAACAATTAAACTAAGGTTTTTTTGTAAATATATAGTGTTAACTTTCATTTTTTTATGCACAGAGAACTAAAGGAGGTGCTTTTCATATAAAGTGAAAAGATTTAATGATATGCAAGCTCTGAAATTAAGGAGTTCAACAAACTTTAATTATAAATTTCCCATTGGATATCTGCTTTGCAGCACTAATCCAATAACATCAATACATAGCAATTATTATAGTGCAATACTCATTAACATTTTTTTTTCTGTTCAACCATATCTGATTCTCAGAGACTGCCAGTGCATCTCTATGTGTGTGTATAGACGTGTGTGTGTGTGTGTGTGTGTGTGTGTGTGTAGAGGGATATGCTTTCATTGAGACTGTATTAGAGAGTTAGTTTGTAGCGTGTTCTGGTTATTGTTGGATAGAATTTTGAACTGCACCCAATGTTGATCTTCCATTATTAGATTATAATTATTGAACAAACATAATTCATAAATAAGTTCTCATTATCACATATATACAAACTCACATGTGCATAAATGTATGACTAATAGTGAAATAGTTGAACAGTAAATATAATAAAATAAAATAAAATAATAAAATGGCATGCATGAAATAACATAATACACTGTTGATTTTTTGCAATTTTGGAAATGACAACCTTTGATTCCCAAGTGGGGTTTATCATCTTAGATCTTACATTCAAATTTACAACCAATGGAATATCATTAGCTTGGCAAGCCTCACAGTGGCAAACACTGGAAAATTAGTAATTCAGGCCAAAACAGAAAAACTTAGAAAGGTGATTATTCACTTTATGAAGAGAAAATAGCTTGTTGGGATACGTGCCCTCTAGCATGTGAAAACTAACTCAGTATTTTTCAATATGCTAACCTAAAAATACAAATATTTATAAAAAGGAGAAATTACCTAAATATCCAAATATGATGTAGAAAATGTTACTACAAAAAAATCGGCTTTGAAAAGTAGGCCAGGAAACACAAGAATGCTTGTGAAAATGTAGCAAAATGGCAGAACTGATCAAATTAAACAATATAGAGTAACTAGATGAAAAGAAGAACAAATGTAGATGATTCATATCTGGCCTGTTCAAGGCAATCAAAAAGAGTTGCATGATCAGAGTATGCTCTCATATTTTAGAAAGTTTTTTGGGGGGGAATCACATTATACAGTCAAATATATCAAGCTCTGCCAGCATAATTAAGATAATTGTTATCCTGAGAAAACCAGCAAGCTAGTTTCTGGACAACAATCTGATCATTATGAGAAAAGATTGAAGATACCCACAGTACTTTTTGGAAGAGATTTGCCATTGCCTTATTCCTGGGGTTAAGAGATAGCAACTGGTCTGACATCACCCAGATGACTTCATGCCTAAAATAGAATTAAAACACAAAGTTTCTAGCCTGGTGCCTTAACCATTTTGCCACTTATTAGAAACAAAAAACAATATTGTTGACAATGTATGATGTATAATTGAATTGACACTCAGCTGAGCCCAGCAAGATTGGTGTGAACTGATTTTTAGTAATATTGTCTTTAGTTTAACCAGATAAACCTAGTTTAGTATAGCCAGATTAGATAGGTGTTGCTATCTCACATGATTTCTGTCCCAGATAACAGAAAAAATCTAGAGTTTTTATATCTCTCTGCTCCTTTATCTAGATTTTTGAAGACTAGAACTTGTAGCCATACATATGATATCTGATTGATGTTTTTGAACATGTTAATTTTTTCAAAGGAGATTCAACCTTTGATGAAAAAGAATAAACATAAAAAAGAGCATCGGCAATAGTCAGAATATAAAAATGCATTTATAAACCACAGTATCAGAGAACATAGTAATCAGAGAACTAGTAGTCCATAATTTATTACAGCTGCAATAGCAACCATAAAGAACATCTATCAAACACTTACTCAGCCCAATGTTAGCTGACAACAAGAAAGCTCTTTCAACAAGAAAGAGCAGTTGTATCACAACCTGCACCATTTACATTAGTGTGTAAATTTTAAAGGCGATAAAAGTAGGGCAAAACTAGTAAATCTTAATAAAATAATATTCAGGGAGTCAAAAGAAACATTCAAATGACTGTTTCAAGTCCCTTGAACAATAGTTATCTTGCTACATCTCTAAAATTTGCACGGTAGACTTTTATCAATATCTTTGAGAATGCTAGTTATGGGCTTATAACTCAAATCTATGTAAAGGAATTTGGAGCTGACTCTGGGTATACGGAAAGTACAAACAAGCTGTTAAGAGAATGGGATGAAAGACCCACAAGATAGGAGCTTCAGAAAAGTTTACATAGTCCTGAGAATGAGATGATGCATGAGAAATAAATTCAAAATAATCCTGTCTTGATTTGTTTGATATAAGATGGAACAAAGAGAAACTTGGAAGAGTTTTGTGATGGCTTCTCCTGACGCCTGCTCAGAAGAGGAAGAGCCAACTCCAGGGATTTCAGAGGAGGGCATGGGGGAATATCAGAAAGATGTCGAGGTCTCTGAGCAGGGAGTGAATGGGCCAGAGGAAGAGGAGAGGCCAGGAATCTCAAAGGGGCTGTCGGGAACAACTGGATGAGCACCTGGTTGAAGAAAAAAGGGGAGAGATGCAGGTGCAGCTGGGAAGCTCAGGGATCCAGTCAGAAGCACAGGGCGGAGAAGTAATGCAGCTGCAGCTGGTCAGTGAGATACAGTGTCCTCCTCCATCAAATCCCAGGATGCATGGGGTCAAAGGGAGGCAGGCACAACAGAGGTCAGCAAGGCTACTTGTGAGGAGGCAGCCTTGCCCCTCCTACTGATTTACAGTGGCTTACACCTACTTAGCCTGAGAGTGGAACAGCGCAATGCTGGAAACAACAGTTCCAATTTCTTATTGTGTCTATGTTCTGGCTTGGATTCCTATCTTGTTTCTTGATTGCACTCAGACTCTGGACTTGTGAGTGGATTCTGACTTGTACCTTGGATTTGGATATCATGCCTTTGGACTCATGCCTAGACGATTTGGTATTTTGATTGGTTGACTTCGTACAGGATTTTGTTTTATTGAAACTTGGGGAGGGGGGCTATTTGCAGGCAAGTTTAGTGTAAAATAATGGGGAAATAACATTAGGAGCTGGTGGTGTTTAAATAAAGCCCTTCAACTCTGTGTGTGTTTGTGTTTGTGTGGTCTAGAGCACACAGTTTTCAAGATTCTGACATTCTACTTTACTACAATAAAGAGCATTTCCAGAGTCCCCATGGTGGCTGCTTTTTTGACCTTGAGAATCTTAAGAAAAATCCTGACACTTTTCATGATTCGAGCAATCAGTCTTTCAACCAGAATAAAACAGCTGGAAGTGGAAATACTAACAGTGCTTAGGTGGAAAGAATTCTAGTGAAAAATCCATTTTGTATTTTGACAAAAGCTTCAGATCCTGCCGATATCTGTGTTTCTATTCTTGCATTGACTCATTGCTAATTATTAAAGGACCCAAGATTGTCTACTCAGCCTGGTGCTTTGGATGGGATAAGCTCTCATTAGAATTTAAGACTGTTTTACAACGTTGAATTTGATCACCAAGAGTAAGTAAAGATATATGCAAATTGAATCCTGGAAGCAGATCCTTAAAACTGTACAGGACAATTTGCATATTCTGATGTATATTTGCGGCACGTTGTTAGATACGTTAATCTAAATATTTCACTGATGAAATGTTTCCTATTATATAAAAATTACTATGGTTTTTTAGTTTTAACATTATGGGTTAAAATGGTTAAAATACTTCTGTTTATGTGTGCTGAATTGAATATTAGAAATACACTTTTAGCTACAATTTTGGGCACAAATTAAATCCATCTGCTTAGATTGGCTGGATTCCAATGATTGCATAGTTTATCCTTGGAAGTGAATACATATTTTAATTAGCATAGTTGTTGATTATGGTCCATATTCTGTTTTATTTATTCTGTTCTGCTACCTTAGTTTCAATTAAATATTTCTTCTTCTGTGATATATTAGATTTTGTTTACTGTTAGTTAAGGTCTGTTTCTATCCTGCAAATAAATTCAACTATAGTGACTTCCATTTATACTCCTTCTACAATTGTCATCATAAAAGATAACACTGTTGAAGGAATCATGGTTATATCATGAGAATACTGTAAGGAAGTTGCATGTCATACTAGTATCATCGAATCCTCTATCTTTGGAGAATTTTAAATGATGTGAATTCATTAACTCATTAAAAATAGATTGCATTCCTTCCACCAAAAACTGGTTATCTCTAAGCTCAATTTTCCAAGCTTCTAACAATTTGCTTCTCACTCCGAAGGAAAGAAACCATGATGAAAATAATTAAAAGGTGATGTGCTAAATATATTCAGTGTAAAAAAAGTATCCCAAAAACATGACATAATTTTCCAAAAATGAAATTATAATTAATGGATATTCTAATGAGAAAATTATTTGATAACACAGATAATAGAATTTAAGAATTAAAAGACAATCTTATGCTCGAAAATTTTAGTTTGAGATCTTCAATAAATATATCTTCAAACCAGTCATCCACTAGTTTCTAAACTTATTTTACAGGATAAATTAACTGGGTTGTGAGGCAGACTAAATTATATTTAGTCTGTATATTATAGTTTTGAAGAAGTATCAACAGTTTACAAGGTGTGCTGTTGCTGAGCAGATGGATACTGAGAAGATCCAGTTAAAGGACGCTATCTGAATGAGACCAAAGACCTCAGACCTATTAGAAATTAAATGAAAAAAAAAATATTATGAGTGCATTTTAAAACTGGAGCTATTGTTGCAGTTAGTTCTGATCTATTTAAGCAGGTTAAGTTGAAGATTATGCAGTCAATGGGCTCAATAAAAGATTTTTAAAAAATCTCTACCAGATAAAACAGGAAACTTCTCGGTTTTAAATCATCAGCTGATTTGAAATGTAAATGAATTATTTTTATAATCTAAATATTTTTTGTTTCTTACTTGGCCTTTGGGAAAGATTATTTAATGAATCATTGCTTTTGGTCTGACAGTTTCTAAAGATTCAGATTGGACTTATAATTCAGCCATACAACTGAAATTGTACTAGAATCTTTACTGACAGCCTTTGTCTCAAACCTAGTGGTAAAAAATATAAACTTCTGATCTCAGCAACTTTTTTAAAAAAAGAAACGTGAATGGACAAAGAGGAGAGACTGAGAAAGTGGTGACTCGGTGGAATTAATGAGATCCTCTGAAAGGGGGTGAAAATTTAAAGAAAAGACCATTTACAGGGCAGGATGTGGCCACAATGCAAGCAAAGATTATTTGAAAGTATAGAGAGGAATGGAAAGAACTAGTGAATGGAAATTGACTAAACCCATTTTTTCCTTCTACTTTTCTTTCATTTCTTCTGTCTCCTTTGTTGTGCTCTGCATTGTGTTGCTTACCCAGAAGGGGAATAGGTAATGGGCATGTACTATATATGACATTTTTAATCCTATTGAAAGACATATTATTTTATCATATAACGTAACAAATCTAGCATGAATAGCCATTAATCTGTTCATTTGGGACTCTCTATGACAATACTCTTGGAAAAATCAGTGTCTCTGTCAAGATATGTTTGTATCTCATCAACTGAACTGATGTCATCATAAATTGCTCCTAAATATGCTAGGATGATTTAGGGTTTTTTAAAAAGACCAGCTTCGTTCATCCTGATGTCTTGATTTTCAGAACTGTATAAAACCATTTTATATTACCTATTAAGCACCTGGAAAATATTCAGACGTTTTGAATATTATAAAGTCTTTTGGCATGTTTGATATGGAATCCTTCTTTAGTTGTTTATTTCCACAACAAATAAATAATTATCTGAACCAGTATTAGGCTGCCGATACTCAGTTAAGTAAAATTTACCAAGTAAATCAAGTTTTGATAATAATTGTGTGCCTTTGAAAACTTCCAAGCTAGTCATTGTTATGGAAAGATCTGCACAAATGATTAAACATGGACAACATGTAATGAAAAATAAATGCTTGTTATAATCTGCTGTGTTATGTTTCATCAGTTCGCATAAAATAGATACTAAATTCATTAACCTAATATTTCATATTTTTTTCCCTCTCTTATCAAAATGGAAGTTGTATTATCCGTTTTTCATTTCTCACAAATAAATACTTAAGGGAAAATGGCATCTTTAATTTCTTTGAAACTGGATGGATACTATTTTATCCTAATCTGTATACAGTTTTCTCTCACATTGTATAAATTTATTATTATGAAATCAATCATAATACTTTGGAGAAATTTGGTCCTCTGGATTTTTTTCTTTTCAATTTTTTTTTCACCTCATTTTTTGTTCTTTTTGCATCAAAGGTATACATGTTCAACTTCTTTGACATTTATCCATTTATGTGCATATTAAATATCACTATTTCCAATCAAATGAATAGTATCTGATATAGAATGTAAAGATTAAGCAATTACATGTATATTGTCATATAATTCAGCAGAGTTTCCTACATGATAGAAGTTACCTCTTCTCCCTTCACATCAGGATTCTACTACATTTTTGTTTTTTAATTAGTATAAAAAGTCTATTAGGCAGTATTTTTAATGGCTTTTTCATTTTATCTAGTCCCTTTCTATTGCCCAATTGCAATTCAAGCCCACTATTCATGTGGGTGATAACTGGGCAACACAGATGGAGATGTACTTTAATCACAGTTGGTGTATTACTTAATTGAGTCCAATAATATTTACTAGCAAGCTGCTACATTCTTGTAGAATATATTCATCTCAGCAGGAGAAAATTTACTTTGATCCTGCTGTCCTCATAACATAAGTACTTATTTGTAAATGGTAGCCTGACTTACAATCATGCTCTCATCCTACATAGTTTGAAGAACAAACATGCACACCTGTACATCTGTAGGTCTTTTATGCACAGTTGAAATCTCTGCTTCTTGCAAATGTCCAGTTATCTGAAGATATTCAGTGCTTTACATTTTTTTTACATAAGGCATATAAACAAACATCAGAAGTCATCTGTGGACCTGAAAAGGTTCTTTTTGGGATACACATAGTGTCACAGATAGAAATGAGCACCTCACTACGATTTGGATGCTTCTGGATTGAAAGGATTAGCCAGCAGAAGTAAAGACAGCAGATACATTTTCCATTTGTTCATCTAAATAAATAAATAGTACTAAAATCAAAGCATTTTAAAATATGATGAGGGATGAATATTAAATTACAATGTTTAGCTTGCTCACTATATAGTTGTTCAGCACATTTCAGAAAGTTAGTGAAATTTATTCAGGTTTCAATAATTATTATAAAACCAGATTATGCATATAACTGATATTATTTTGACCATGACTAAAATAATGGTGAAGACTCAGAGAATTCTTCCACTATTTTAAATTCCAACTCAGTTCTCGCCAATTTCAGACAACTGTCTTGGCAACTTCAACTGCACTGCACACATCATAGTCAGGAAAGTACTACTCAAGAATTCATTATTTGCAATCATTTATCTCATATTCTTGATCATTTAAAAGCCTTGGTCATATCTTTTTAAATATATTTTCTAATTTGCTGCCCGGAGAATAGAACTAAATCTATATATCTAGATTACTAAAACATAGCAATCTAGATCACTAAAACATAGGAGTAAGTGTTTTTCTCGAAATCTTATGGTACCAGGCTGATGCTGGCAAAATACAGGATGCCACACCTCCATACAATACTTATAAACAGCTTGCAGAGTATTGCTAGCAGTAGGTAAGTCAGTTTCATTTCATATTGCATATGTCAAATTCCAAAACCATTTCCAGTTATTCCCAATGTATAATTCAGTTACTTGAATGTTTCCAAATACATCTTTTTTTAGGACTGGAGAAAGATATACCACTGTGTATCTCCAATCTCTCACATTCTGCAGTCTCTTGCAGTTCAATTAGCAACCCTGAGTTGCATAAAGTGACTGTACTTTATAAAATGCCATACAGTGCATCTTGCAATAGATGATTTTGCATGAATTAAAAATAGATGGGTTTAAGTTTAATGAAAAAAGTGAGTTGAATGTTTCTACTGAGGGTTGTGCTTATTGCATCAAACAATGCACAGACATTCAAAATTCTATGTAATTTATTAAGTGGACTGAGACAGTATTGGTCAAAGGGATAATGAATAGCTGCAGCTGTATTTTCTAAAACCTGTCACAAAAATATTCAACAATTATATTCCTACAATCAGACATATTAAGCTTAATAGAACTTATTCCCAAAGATTGTGCTCTAAATATAGAATAGTAGGATTGACATATATGAAGCTCTGTTTACTGGAAAATTTAATCACCAAGCATGATTATCCCACATATCCAGTTACATTTAATATATAATCATTGCTATTCCATTCCTTTCTTATATAAAGTTCCACTTGTACGCTCCACTATGTTTGTCACTATATTCTTAAACTGGAAGCAAAGAAAAGCAAGATCAAGTTTTTTTTCTTCCATTGCCACAAGAGAAAATAGTACTGCCTGTAATATAAACATTAAAATATGCAATGTAATTTTTATTATCTAACCAAAAAGTTCATAAAGGGAATTTTAGTGTGCATGGTTTTATCTGGAAGCTGTCATCCACTACTAAAAGGGCTTCATTATTACACATAACAAATTAATGTATGGACCTGATTTGAGTACCATATGCTACTGTAAAATACTATGAAAAAATTATCACGTGCAAATGCACAAAACATATGTACTATAGCTAAAATATACAGGGAATTGTGGATGGACGGAAAATTTCACTAAGCTTGTGTTTTATACAACAGCTACTATATCCTGAGTTATAGTAATTATGAGAACTTTGGAAGGAAGTGTAAATTGAGCTAATGAGATATTACTGTTATTCAATTCACATCAAGCATTCTTTTACTGACTTGGAAGGTTAGTTTTCTCTCTTCCCCTGTTGGAGCCCAACACTGGGAATAAAAAAGACCTGTGGCTGGGATGAAGTCTGGAAAGGAAGCAAGCTTGCATTTTACATAGAATTGCCATAGAATAAGCATATACAATTTTTTGTCAGCTTCCCACTGAAGGTCAACCTGCTTCAGCAAACAGAGACATATAGCAATAGACTTATATACCGCTTTACAGTGCTTTACAACCCTCTCTAAGTGGTTCACAGAGTTAGCATATTGCCCTCAATAATCTGGGTCTTCATTTTACCCACCTCGGAAGGGTGGAAGGCTGAGTCAACCTTGAGCTAGTAAGATCTGAACTGCCAAATTGCAGTCAGCCAGCAGTCAGCAGAAGTAGCCTGCACTCTAATGCAATTATTGACAATAAGAGATGTTTTGCAATTAAAAACATTTGGGGGAGTTGACTTATTCTTTCCAGTGTTATATCACCAAAACCATGCACTGAATTTGAAAACACAATGAGCTCCAACTAAAATTAAGTCCTGGAAACATTAAATTATTTCTATTGCACACATAGGCATTTGAGGGCTCAGTTAAGTAATTTATCAGGAAGTGTCAAATAGTCCAATCATATTGTTTTTAGACAGCATGATAATATTTATATTTAGAAAGCAATTTATAACTAACACCCCATCTACCAACTGTCACAGATGTCCCAAAATGGCCAATATGTCCAGCAGCATTTAAGGCACAGCATTGCGTAAGTGGGTAAGCTTTTGCTGCAGTGTAGGGCCCAGATCCAAATTTTCTTCATTGCCAGACTTTTTCTAGTGCATTAACTTTCCCCCAAGGACCAGCTAAGGAATAAGCAGTGTGGTCAACTGTGAACATGGCCTAGAATGAATCATACATACGATTTTCTATTCCAAATATGGACTTTGTTTTGAAAGAAATTTATTTTATATTTGTCCATTTCGCATGTCTTCCACAAAAACCTAACCCAGTATATTTTGGCCTACTATTTTTTTTTAAAGTGTACAAATGAAAACACCAACTAAGAAAGACAGATTTTAGATGACAAAACTGAAAAACATGCGCAATCACATATACATATACTTTTTATTTATCAATTTTCTGTAACATTTTTCTTCTCAGAAAAAAATCCTCACAACTGTTACAAGAAAACAATAAAGCCACCTTAAATACAGTGTACCATCATAATAAAGTTAGCAATGTTTAAAAACAATAAATATAAAAAATTAAGTGTTCATTCAAAAAAATCCTAAAGCAAGTGTTGGAGATGTGATTGTGATGATCCACTATCATATATGGTGGACTTGTAAAAAGATTAAAGCATTTTGGATTAAAATATGGTGGATTATCCAAAATATTCTTAAAAAGAAGATAAAGTTTACTCCACAATTGTTTTTGTTGGGTATAATTACAGATTGTACGGTTATAGAGACTAAATTGATTTTAAATTTAATAACTGCAGCTAGACTTTTGGTGGCGCAATATTGGAAGAAGGAAGATTTGCCTACTATTGAAGAATGGACATTAAAAGTAGCGAATTTGGCAGAAATGGCAAAGATTTCGGCATATTTGAAAGATCACTCACAAGAAAGATATATATCGGAATGGAGAAGATGGATTGATTATATTCAAAACAAATATCGGACTAAAAAGTATCAAATAGCTTATGAATGAATAGAAAAATTAAGAGTATTGATGCTTAGTAAAAGGGGAGTTAAAGTATGAAGGGGGGATAGGAATCCTTAGTTTATCAGCTTAGTTTAGCTAATATGATTGTCAATTGTATACCCTGTATTTTGTTCTGGGAAGTTCGGGGGGGGGAGGAAGGGAGGGAGGGGCGGAAATACTTGTAAAAAAAATTTTTTTTCCTCTTTCTGTAAAACTATTTAATAAAATTTTAAAAAAAATTGTCATGCCTAGTATGGCTCTTCAAAAAAATCCTAAAGCAAAATAACAGGTAATTTAAAAACATTCAGGATGTTTTCTTATCCCACAAATGCTTGGCAGAAGAGTTATGCCTTTCCAGTTTTCTATAAAAATACGCTAGTCAACATGCTTTGAGACAGAATTCCTACTTCTG